TTTAGATTTCATTCCAATTCGGAATTAAGGAGGTGATTTATGGCAGAGGGAAAACACGGCTTTATTTTAGGGCCTTGACAGCCAAGTGAAAAAGAGCTGTCATTAAGGATGGTAACACATTCCACAGGAACGGGGTTTGTTGTATTCCAGAGTAATTTCTGCCAGGAAATGAGACCCAGCCTTTGGTTTGGGTTTGGGGTAAATCCAGGGAAGCAGCAGCGGGAAGAGGGCAGGTTTGGGATGTGCTGGGTGAGGATCAGTCCTGCCACATCCCCCAGTGGGTTGCAACAACATCCCAGGGGTCTGGGGGTGCTGAATCCCACAGCAGCACGGGGAAGTGGCACAGGGAGAGGTGGGATGGTTGGGAACAGGATTTGGGAGGAATGGACTGAGCATCCCAAGGCTGTGGCCTGGGGATTCTGGGCTGAGGGTGAAAATCATGGGGATGTGGATGGAGGTCCTGGGCTGAAGGTTTGGGGTCTCAGGATTTGGGATAAGAGTCCTGGGATAGGGGTTTTTTGCCCCAGCTCCAAAACCTGCTGTTCTTCACCACAAGCCCTGATCTACCCTAAAATCCCGATGCCCAACACTGCCCTAATTCCAGATTTCATGGGGATGGTCGTGGCTCTGCATCCTACTCATCCCTTGACTCCAAGGTGCTACATCCAGCTGCATCCCAATTTCACCGATTTCTCCCCAAAAGGGGCGGCAGATCCCAGCACCACCAGTCCTGGAGCTGCAGTTCCTACCCAGCCCTTTCCCTGGATGTTAATTCCAGTTTGTGCACATTCCCCTGGAGCTGCCCGTAGTCATTAACCTCCTGCTGCCGTTAATCAAGAGGACTTTGTTAATTAATAGCTAAGGATGTCTCCAACTGAGCAGCGCAGGGGCAGGATTGGGTCACCAGGACGCATCCAAGGATCCTTGATTTAATATTTTGGAGCTTCCCAACACTCTGGGGGAGTGCAGCCCCCTCCCCTCCATGAACAAAATATCCAGCCCTGTAAAAAACCCAAGGAATGCTGACAGGATGCATCCTCAGCACCCTGGGAGATTCCAGAGCTGCAGGTCCTGCAGTATTTCGGGAATATCCGAGGAATTTGAGTACTGAGCTCCATTTCTTTGCCACTCTGCCAAAAAGGGGAGAAAAACCTGGCTGGGGAGGCTGAAGTTTTCTGAGGAATGGGGTTTTTTTCTCCCTGCTTCCATTTTATAGCTATATAAAAATGTGCATTTGTTAATGCTGCCTGGGTGAGCTGTTTGCTGCCTGTCTCAGCGGGGGACATGGGAACAGAAGTCACTGATATTCCTTGGGGATGTTAATTCAAAGCTAACCGGGTGGGGCAGGAAAAAAACAGTGTATTCTTCCATCCTCTTCCCCATCCTCATCCCAAAACCTGCCAGGATGAGGCGAATCAGGAACAAGAGGGGACAGAACAGCAGCACCGGTGTCTGGATGGATGTTGGGGTGGAGCACTTGGATCATCCATTGGAGATCTCCCAAAACCCACCCAAGAGGCTCAGATCTCACCTCAGCCACTCAAACCCCTCCACAATTCCAAATTCCACACCAGGGGTTAGGAATACACACTGGGAAAAACCCTGGGATCCTTCCCACTCCACTCATCGAGGTTTTTGTCTGGAAAGCAGAGCTTTTATTAAATAAGCAAACAGCTACAAAGACAGATTCAAATATTTGGGAGACTTGGGATTCCCAAGCTGCCATTACAGGGATGATTTAACCCCAGGGTAAGTACCAAGGCACTGCTTTTCCTTTTTCTGGAAAGCTGTTTGGAGTAATAACAGATGGGCTTGGAAAAAACAGACACCAGGATTAGTGAGGAGCATCCTGGATCCATCACAAACATCCCAGCGCCAACCTGAGGGGCAGTGGGATGGCATCCAGTCCTCGAGGCTTCATCCCGCTGTTCCCACATCCAGGCCTTCTCCAAACCCTGAGCCCAAAAAGCCCCAGAGGCTGCTGGCTCCGGGTACATCCCACTCCCACTGTTCCCTAAACAGATCCTCTGCAAGTTCTGTGTGTCCCTGTCACCGCCCTGTCTGTCCATCTGTCCCGTCCATCCCATCTGTCCTATCCCACTCCTAATAGGATCCTGGCAACCTTCCAGCAGCATTAATTAAATACTGGGGAAAATGAGCAAGAGGAGCCGCCTCCCACCACCAGAGAGGCCCTGCTGCCTCCTCAGGCACTGCATTTTCCATGGGTACGGATCCAGGGTGGATCTCTGTGGATCGGGGCTGGGAGCAGCCCTGGGCCTGGCCATGGGACGTGGCGTGGTGCAGGGATGTGGCAGTGCTCCCTGGGGAAGCGGATGCATCCCAACCGCAGGAGATACGGAGACAATCCGGGTGCTGAGTGTCCCATCACACGAAGGAGGCGATGCAGATCAAGGTGGAGCAGCGAGGCAGCGCCGGGGCGGAGAGGACGCCGGATAATCCACCCGAAATCCTGAAATCCTGAAATCCAGCTCCCGCTGCAGCATCCGCTCTGATCCGCGGCGTTCCCGCGGCTTGATTACCGGAGCTTTACTCCTACCTGTGGCTGGCACAATGTGCTGGCCTTTCCTGGGAGCTGCCTCTCCATTTTATTTTCCACTTTCTGATATCCAAGGAAAGCTATAAATAAATATTTCAGCTTTTGGAGGCACCTGGGAGCAGACTCCCAACTGCCAACGTGTCAAAACTCTGCACAAAGCTCCCCGAGGGACCTCCTGAAGTGTCCTGAAATGTCCCCAAGGCCACTAGGAGCTGCCTAATTCCAGCTCCAGGGATTCCTCGCTGTCCTGGGGATGACATAAATGAGGGTGACACCGGGATCGTGGTGAAGGAGCCCTAATGGAGAAGGAGCTCTCAAATTAACTGGGCGTGAAATTGGATCGAGGTGGTGGCTCAGCCCATCCCTCACTGCAGAGGTTGGCGTGGGGCGGCGGAGTCTCCCACGAGATTCCCGGAGTCTCCCAAGATGGGAAAGAAATAATCCTCCCCTAGAACCGACTGGTCCCACCAGGGAGCAGCTGGCCATGAACCACTCTCCCCTGGATACAGGAGGGGACAGCAGGTCCTCCCCAGGAGCTCATTCCCAGCTCATGGACCTGTTCCTGGTCCCAAACATCCAACTGCTCTGCAGGATGTACCGTGTGGAACGTGCCCATCAAGAGGAGGCGTAAAAAGACATCCCAAATCGACCCTTCCCTCTTTTTTCTCCCAGTTTTCCATGCTGGTGCCCCTGTGTGTGAGCCCAATCCCCACAATGGAAGGTGGCCCTGGGTCTGGATCTTAGAAGATATTTGAGACTTCCCGGTTTTTTGAGGATGGATATTCCAGCCCCTCATAAGGACACTTCCAAAAACAGTCACAAACACTTTGTTCGGGTACCAAAATCCCTCAGGAGTTTACCATGAGGAGCCACACACAGCCATGGGACAGAGGAGTGTCACCAATTTGGCCGTGGCAGGGATCCCCCATGGCACGGGAGATGCCTTCCTGATATCCCGCGACCCACCACGGTGCCTCTGGAAAACACCAGGAAAGCCCTTCCCAGGTCAGGGGAGGGTTGGATGGGAATGCCCCAAAACGTTTCCTTAGTTTGGCACAAGGATTTTTGCAGTCCCACTCAAGATCAAGGGTGGTTGTGTCTTCTCCACACCTTGGGGGTCTCCACCCCCTGCCAGCCCTCAGGCAGCAACACCAGTCAAAAACGGGCTGTAGAACAGTGCTGGACAATGCTTGACCCACACCAGGGCCACCACAGGGGTGGTCACCCTCACACTGCCAACACCAGGGGACTCTGTCCCTCCTGCAGGCTGGGCTTAGACAACTGTTGTCTCTTTCTCAGTCATGGAGGAGATCTTGGAGAAGCTCCTGTGCACGATGCTGGAGTGTCCTGTCTCCTCGCTGAGGGCGTTCACCAGCCTGGAAAGGAGGGTCACCTTGAACTTCTTGAAGTCCTGGCCCATGAAGACGTAGAGGACGGGGTTCATGCAGCTGTTGGAGGCCGCCAGAGCCGTGGTGAGCGGGATGAAGATCTCAAACACGGACCAGGGGACTGCGTCGGGCACCGTCTCCAGCAGGTTCAGCAGGTGGTAGGGACTCCAACAGAGGAAGAAGGTGACAATGATGGTGACGATGATCTTGAAGGGCTTCTTGGACTTGGCCAGGCGGTTCCGGCGCAGGTTGAAGACGATGGCGACGTAGCAGAAGGTGATGATGGTGATGGGGAGGATGTACCCAGCCAGGAACCTGGTGATGTTCACCGTGCGGTGCCTCATCAGCGCCAGCCCTTCGTAGGATTTATTCCTGGACAGGGAGAAGTTGCTGAAACAAATCACGGAGTTGCGGGTCTGCGCCGTGTCCCGGAAGACGAGCGAGGGGCAGCTCATGACGATGCCCACGGTCCAGATGATCACACAAACCCCGTAGGCCAGGTTGGTGGAGCGGTGGTTCTGGGACCACACCGGGAACACCACGGACACGTAGCGGTCGAAGCTGATGGTGGTGAGCAGCAGGACGCTGGTGTACATGTTGAGGATGAGGAGGAAGGAGTTCAGCTTGCACATGACCGTGCCGAAGATCCAGTGGTAGCTCATGGCCGTGTAGGCGATGTTGATGGGCAGGAAGATGTTGAAGAGGAAGTCGGCCACGGCCAGGTTGAGGAACCAGACGGCGTTGACCGACTTCTTCATCTTCAGGGTGATGATGGCGATGACGAGGCCGTTGCCCAGGATGCCCAGCACGCAGGACACGCTGTAGATGATGACGGACAGGATCCTGGTGATGTCCTTGGGGTCGTGGGCCGGGTCTGCCCACACGCTGCCGGCGTCCTCGTAGGTGTAGTCCGGGTAGTCGCTGTAGTTATTGAGGCCGTCCAAGTAGTCGGACAGGTTGGGAAGCGCCATTGTCCGTGTGAACGGCAGCCGAGCCGTGCGATCCCTGGGATCCCTGGGATCTGGGGTGCTGGGATCTGCAGCCGGTGATTTTTCCCTGCTGAGCAAACACTTGGTGTTAATCGCAGTGAGGAGAGCGGGAGGGCCAACGGGAATCGGGAACTGGGGACAGGGAGCGAAGGGATAAACACACGGGAATGGGGGATCCCGTGAGAACCCCACTGGTCCCAAACAAGATGCTCCCGAAGTTCCTCCCCCATTTCCACCCCCATCCATGAGACATCAGGACGTGATTCAGCCCCTCAGCTCCACCAGGATGTGGCTGCAGCCTCATCCTGCACAAAACGTTGATTACCCGCCTACTTCCAGAGGAAAAACCGGGATAATGCTCATTAACAGCTCATCAACAGCTCTGGCCTTCCAATCTGCAACATATTATGATTCCTCTCTTTTTTTTGGTGCTGAATTGGACTGAAAACCCAAAGGGAAGCTCCCCACACACCCCCCTGACACCCTCTCACCTCTCTCCTCTCGGTCGGGATGGGGCACAGGTGACACTTCAGTGTCCCGGGGCACAACGGCGGCTCCCTCCACACCGGCCTAAGGAGTGAGCTGTAACATTAAAGCCAGGATCAAAGGAAGGCCACTCACCCCCGGATGTGGGGTTAAGGAGGAAACCCATTCAGGGTGTGGCACTAATTAACCCTGTGCAGCCTCCCTCGAGGGGCTGTGCTGGCCTAGGGACCCTCCTCACCTCCAGTCTGGGGAAGGTGGGGTCCTGCCATGATCCCAGCATCTTTTGGGATAAGCCAGGGCAGAAATCCCATCAAGCAGCATCATCAGGTGCAGGGAACCAAACAACCAACCACAGGCTAGTAATAATTAAATAACACATAATTCAAGGTATAAATGAGGTGCACATAATCTGCGTGATCTATTTTATATCCTGCATTCTCACAGGGTTATTTTCCTGGTTCGATCAGTGTTTAAAGACATTAATTGTGCTAAACCAACAGCATCGTTTGCCATTGTCAGACTCCAGGCTCCAGAGCCTGGATTGAGGGGGTTCAACCTCTCCCCTGTGCATGTGGGTCAGGGGGGTTAAAACCAAAATCCCCCAAAGGCTGACTGAGGAGCACAGAGCATCCCACCCAGCCGTGTCCTCACAGGAGGGACGTGGGGACAGCCAAGGACCCTCCCTGTTCCCGAGGCATTTCACCCCAAAGGTCCTGAGCGTCACCTTCCCGCCAGCCCTGCTTTGAAATTCCCATGGTGTTTGTGTTGGAAGCTATTGTTTCTCCCTGGGCTTTTCCTGCTGTTCCTTCCTGCCATTGCTGCTGCAGAGTCCCCGGCCGGGGGTGAAATCCCACCCTGTCACCTCCCCCTGGCCCAGCTCCGGGGGACGATAAGTGGCCAGAACAAATGAGGTTTGAGTGCAAAGCTCGGGAATGAGCTGGAGCTGGGAAGAGGTTTTATCCCAGGAAAACCTCGATGGTCAAAGAGATGAATCCAGGTCGATGATCCGCTGGAAGGAACAGAATCAGCAGAACTGACTCTCCCAGCGATGGTAATGTTGATTAATGAGTCGTTGCTTCATGAAACAGGGGTTTCAGGTCATCCCCTTCCCAAAGGCACAGCTCCAGAAAGGTTGGGGACCCCAGAACCACCCCAACCCACCCCATAGCCTCATATCCCATCCCATTCCATCCCATCCCAGAACCCCAAAGCTCCCTGGACTTGCTCCACAACCACAATTCCCACTGTGGTGTCGCCCATGGGGCAAGTGAGACACCCCCCACCCCTCACCACCGCGGGGTCACTCTGACCCCACATTCAGCCCCTGCTCCAGAGGGACGGGAGAAATTCCCACTCCTCTTCCCACTGTGTCCACTTCCATGTTTTAAATGTAAAATCCTCCCTATATTATTATTATTTTTTAATTGCTGATGACTCTCAGCTCATTCCAAAGCTCGTTTTATTGGATTATTTATCTGAATTCTCTGTAATTTTGCCCTGCTGGGTTGGGCAGGGAATTGGTCTCTGTTCCCAGTTGGGATGAGGATGGCAGAGAGCAATGGGAACACCAGGACTGTGGGATTTGGCAGAGGATGGGTTTGTTTCCAGGGTTCATGAGGAGCAATCCCAAACCCCACAGCAGCAGCTGCCAGTCCCACCACGAACATTCCAGAGGGGCAGGATGGGCACCAGGAGGTGCTGGAAAATCATCCAGCAAACTCCCACCTGCCTCTCCAAAATTCTCCCAAAAAAGGAGAGTCCCAGGGGAAACTGCATGAAACCTCCTCATTTCTCACAGCAAAAAAACTCCAAAGTCCGCGAGAAAAGGGAAAAAAAAAAAAAAAAAAAAAAAAAAAAAAAAAAAAAAAAAAAAAAAAAAACACAAAAAAATAAAAGCCACAAAAAAAAAAAAAAAAAAAAAAAAAAAAAAAAAAAAACAAAAAAAAG